CATTGTGGATTTCAGGCATTTCAGTGAATGAGCATAAATGTAAAATTACAAGACGAAAGATTTAAAGTTGCTAAATTCAAAACTAAGAATTATCACTTAAATCTGCGGCCCCATCGACGTTTGAGCTTTATATTGTTTCAGCTAGTTGTTTGTGGAGCTTATTTCCTATCTTTATTCAAGAGCATAGTCTTCCAGTTTGAGGGCACGACTTTTCATCAAAACCCTGGGCTGAAGCTTGGAGCGCAGGAAATCCGTGCAAGCGACAATATATGTTGCAAGCACACAGTTTGTGCAGAAGCAGAGCGAATGTAAGTGCAAACAGGAGCTATTTAAGTGCAAAGACAGGGTTTTGGTGAAAAGTAACAATCTGAGCATAAATCCAACAAGTCATGCCCTCAAACTGAAAGACCACGCTCTCGAATAAAGAAAGGAAAAAAGCTCCATAGTTGTTTAGCTGTTTACTCACACTGGAGCATTTTTATCTGCCACACTAGTTCGACCTGCTCAGCTCCAGACCAACACAGAGACTAGCTGGTAAACGTAGTCGAGCATCCAGCAGCTAAAGAGACAGATGTTTCCCTCAGGACTCGGTAGACACAGAAACACAGAAAATATTTGACTTCACGTGGTGGGCAGAACTTTTCACTGCCCCCCCAAAAATCAGTAGGTGCAGTAGGTAACCCTGACTCAGGCACACAACAATAACTATGGGAGTCCACGTAGCATAAAACTGAAATGTTCTGAACAGAAAAGAAATTAAAAGCTCAACATGCAAAAAAATTATAAAATGGTAAAGTGTGAATAATAATGAAATATTGATTCATATTCTACGGTTGTTTCCAAAAGTATGACACCACTTTCCCTTTGATTTGAATGGTTAAAGGATTAATAATCTTTCAGGTCAGATATGTACATTCTTTTCTTAGAGCTGGTGTTGGAAGTTAGGTTTAAAAACAGTTCATCCTTATTTTCATAATATGGAATGACAGAACTGGAATGTGGAGTAAAACAGCTAAAGTAAACAGATTTGTGTTTTTATCATTATCATCTGGAAATATTAAATATAAATTGAATGACCTAAACATTTTAAAGGCAAAAGCATTTATCTTAAATAAATACATTTCTTTAACAGTATAAACTTTGCCCTCGTAAACAAAATGTAACATCTTAATTTTTACTAACATTTTTGATCATTGTGCAAAAATACATTTACGTCCCTGTGCTCCTCAAAAAACAAGATTTTAAAAATGATAAGCTGGCATTTCAATAAATCTGTTAAACTTTAAAATAAAGTGATTTTTTTTTAAAAGTCTATCGTCAACAAATGAGTTTCCAATCCATAATCATTTAAGTTAAAAGTTACCTTTGGGTAAATAGTTAACTTGTAATGAGGAAACTGAATTTGATTTTACCGACATCCATGAAGGAACTATGTTAATTTCAAGAGAATAGGAAGGAAACATTACAGTGCATTGTAAATACATCAAGGTGTGGTCTCTTTCTGTTCCCCTCATTTAAAAAAAGGGGAATTTACTTTGGTGAAGTTCATCTAATTTAAACGGTCGATTCAGGGCTGTGAGTTTATAACAGTCAGAGCAGGTATTACATAGAGAGAAGGTGAGAACCGCTTTGAGCTATAGACCTTACAGAGTGAGGACATTGTGGGCTGCTCCTCACAAATTCAAGTGTGTGTGTGTGTGTGTGTGTGTGTGTGTGTGTGTGTGTGTGTGTTAGCTGGTCCCACCGAGTGAACCTCGTCTCGTCAGACTCAGCGTGCTGGAGCTCAGACCTCGGATATCTGTCAAACGGCTCGACTGAGGAACGAAACAAAAACCCACAAGTGTTAACATGTTACATCTTCTTTGACCAGATTCACAGCTGAGTCAGACACGTTTTTATTACTTAATGAGGAACAATGTTAGAGCTGGAATAATTCAACTGGAATTTCTGTTAATGCTGAACTAAGAACAAGACAAATTTCAGGCCCAAGTGGAAATAACACTAAATTAGATGAACAAAAGATACAACACACAAAGCACACAATTCATAGAATATGTAGTTGCCTTGTTTAATGACATCATCGGGGAAATTTAGTTTGACACACACTTCTTGTAGTATTTTTAATATCAATTTTCAATGTACATGTAAATGTAGATCGTGGGAAGCTGCAACAACTTTGGACCAAACGAATCCCTGAAGTCACGTAAAGATTCCCAGCTTCACGTACACGCACATCACCTCGTTTAAAAGAAGTGAATCAGAAACTTCGCTCACCTGTGCTCCATCTTGACTCTCTCTGGCTCCAACATTCAACACATTCAGAGAGTTTGCTCTCTTCATCCTGAAAACAGGACAACATCATCGTGAACTGTTGTTCTTTACAAAGGGGGCTGTG